ATTACGGCGCCCTCTGAGGGTCAAACCGAGAGGTGGAGTCCGATTCTGTAGGTATGAGATTTCATAGACGCGGATATAAGTACACTCACGTTTCAAATGATGAACCGTCACCCGGATCCCAGGACACTCCCTCTCAACAGCCGCAGCCGTCTCCACCTCGGGAAGAAACACAAACAACGACAACTCGCGCACCGCAGGCCACAGGCGCACCCAGCCCGCCAGAGGTACAACCCGCGTGACGAAGAAGGCTAAGTGTGGGAGTTTGAATGTGACTCGCAGGTCGGAGATGTTGTGAACGGCCTGCTCTGGCTCCGCAGGAGTAGATTGAAGTTTCGCAGATTTGAGCCTCTCGGGCGCGGAGCACCACGGAAACCACTCGTATACGAGGATAGCGAGCGATTGAATATTGGGATGCGCCGAGAGACTGTGCAGCGCGGCAGTGTATGCCTCCCACTTTCCCTGGTGCTCGTGGAGTTCGAGCGCAATAGTGGTGAGGTTCGCCAGTGGATTGCCGTGCCGCGGGGATAGAATCCATGCGAGGAATGGCGCGGTGCCGAGCATGTACTCGAGGTGCGGAAGGGCGTCGGATGGGAGATTGGCGTTGTCTGTGGGTGTTTGGGCGATCCGCTCGAACGATTGGTGGTACGGTCCTTGAACCGTGATCCGCTCGAGAGTCGGGTGGCGAGAGAGGAAGCCAGCCGTAGATGCATAGGGTATTGCCGGAAATGCCATTTCGACGGCACGGAGGAGTGGTAGGGTGAGTGACTCGAATAGAAGGCTCGTCTCGGCCAAGGAGAAATAGCCGGGGAGCCGAAGGTTTGCGATACTGTGCCCACGGAATACTACAAGGGACCCGAGGGCAGATGACGCCTCGGTATCGAGGGCACGGATGGATATAGTGGAGAGGGCACCGAACAATGTTGTCGGGAACAGGAACAGAATCCGTGCTTCGCGAAATTGATCTCTCTGGATCACCGCCGAATCGGCAGCGGGCTTTTTGTTTGCGCCGACGATTCTTTTCAGAGGGGAAATGATCCTCTGTAAGCCCTTGGCCGGTGTGAAGCTGGGTGGTCGGATGATGGTAACCATGAACGGTGACACCGTCACCACTGGTCGGGCTCCGTACGGAGAGAGCAGTGTGAATACCAGGTCTTCGATGTCGAAAGGTTCAATTGGGCTGATGGGCCGTGCAATGAACTGCATATCCACGGATTTAATTGGTGGGAGACGATGGGCTAGGCTTTGTAGTGCCCGCAGGTCTCGGTCCACGGTGGTACCTGCGTCAAAGCGCAAGTCTAGTGCATCTAGACGCGTGATGAAGCGCCCAATACAGAGCGCAGGAAAGGCGCCGCTGGTGGATATCTGCGGGAAGGAATTGTTGGCCACATCCTCTTCCGTTATATCGTAACGCCTGAGGTACGAGAGGAGAGCGAGGTCGTGGAAGTGCTTGGAAATGACAGCGAGGGGCAGGAGGTCTCTGTCATCCAGATGCTCCAAGATTTGGAGAAGGAGTTCTTCAGAAAGCCAGGAGTTGTTCAAGGCAGGAGTCGGCGTGCTGGGAGGAGAGGACATTGGAGAGGAACAAGACGTGTGAGCCAGCTCATGATGGCGATTCATATCAACGCAAATTTAGTCCAGACTCCACCTTGATGGAGGAGGGAAGCAGTAACCTTATTCGAGACCAGCAAGTACGACTCGCCGTGGACGGTGGTGGGCGAAGCAGAGTGCTGATTCGGATCGAATGGCTAGTCGTCTAGCGCGGCCGGATGATCCCGGATCACTGGCAGGACGATCAAGCCTCTTGACTCTGACCACCATGTCGCGATTCCTATTGCAACCTTTGGGGCACAAAACCCGGGCAAGATGACCACTGCCCACAAGTATGACTACTATGAGTCTGTCGCTGCCTGTCGCTGCTGTCTGGGGCTGTCTACCACCGTGTATCTGATGCAATACAGCCTTGCTATCATCTATGTAAGTACGGCGCTCAAAATGACATACTCACTGCCCATCTATTCGTATTCACGCCGCCTCGGAGTCGCGCTGTTACAACGTGTGCCTGAGATCTGCCACGTCAACTTCAGGTCTCTCTCCACCATGTCGGCCTCCGCATCGAAGACTACTGCTTCCTCCACACGTAGAACCACAAGCCATGTCCGCAGAGTCTCGTCCAGCACCGACTCGATTGCCATGGCACTACTGGTAGCCAGGACAATCGAAGCAGCGGCCGAATGTGCACCGTTTCCTTTCATCAAAGGTGCATTCGGGGCTGTGGTGGTGCTCCTCGAGCTCGTCGAGGTAAGCTTTAATACCTCCGTGGATCTTACATTAAGCGCTATCAGAAAGCACGCCAGAATCGCGCAGACCTCGAAGACCTTTGTCACGACTCTGTGGATATCATCAAGATTGTCCGGGACCAGATTTCAAGCCACGGAGACACCGCCGCGTTCCGATTCAAGGACTTATGCGAGGAACTAGACAAGTGTGCCTTTCTGCCAGTTCCGAGTTCGGCCTCACCATTGAATCAGATCGCTGTGTGAAATCGTTGACGCCGTTCGGCTTGCACAGAGCCTTCCCAAAGGATTTTGCGCTCGTTTACGGGAACTCTTCCACGTACACAGCAAGGCCGAAGAAATCGCTGCATATCAAAATAAATTGCGCTCGTTGCGCTCGAATTTCGTGGTATGAATTCATAAGTACGAGAAACGAATGTTGATTGATTCTCTCAGCTTCTAGCCGCAGTGGATACCAACTTTCAAGTCCATAAAATGGCAGCGCTCGTTACCAATGCCATCGTTCCGCAGGCAACGACCTGTATCAACAACTGTTCCCCTCCGTCCAGAATCTTTCGCGGACGACACACTCTTTTGGCGAAGATTCATTCGCACTTTTCTGAAAGCTCGACGGATCAGAAAATTTTCCTGCTGCATGGACTTGGCGGTGCTGGCAAGACACAGATTGCGCTCAAATTTATCTCAGAGGCCTCTCAGTACGTCGCCCTAAAATGTCGGAGAATCCAATCTGATTCACAGTTCCAGATTTCTTTCGGATGTGTTTCTTGTCGATGCTAGCACGACGGACACGATCAAGATGGGTCTTGAGAACATCGCCACGGCAAAGGCCAGTGGCACCACGGCGCAGGACGCACTCAAACTTCTTGGCACCAAACCCGGGTCCTGGCTCTTATTCTTCGACAACGCAGATGATCCGACGATTAACTTGAATGCTTTCTTCCCTCGGTGCAACCACGGGAACATCTTGATCACATCCCGGAATCCGGGTCTCTCCACCTATGCGAGCTCGTCTTGTCTTGTCTCGGATCTCGAAGAAACAGATGCCGTGGACCTTTTGCTTGTCAGCGCAGGACAAGAGACTACCCCCGGAAATAAGGATTTGGCCCTTGATATTGTCAGGGTAAGCATTTGATTCTACCCGACCGTTTGTAGTTGATGCTTTACTCCAGGCTCTGTGGCTCCTGCCGCTGGCGATCATACAAGCGGGTGCATTCATCGCACGAACAGGATCCCTCAAGAGTTATCTAGCACTCTACACCACAAATCGGTCTCGTCTTCTCAGCGAGAAACCATCTCAATCGCATGACGACTATGCCTGGACCGTATACACGACGTGGGAAATCAGTTTCAAGCAACTGTCCTCGCGGGCTCGGAATTTGCTTCAACTCTGTTCGTTCCTTCACCATCAGGGAATTTCAGAGCAGATATTCCGCGGAGCTTGTGCGTATAACTGGCCGAGTACGGGTCCATCCAGAGAGGAGCTCTACAAAGCTGTTGACTTTCTGTCGCAGTTCTCAGGGCCGTCTGAGCTTTGGGACTCTTTGGCATTTACAGATGCTACAACAGAGCTGCGAGCGTATTCTTTGATCAACTTCAGCACGGAGACTGGGTTGTTCTCGATCCACCCTCTCGTGCATAGTTGGCTGCGGGGCACTGTGCTGGATCGGACGGAGCAGCATTCTTGCATGGTTACGATTTTAGGGATGTCGATTGCAGGTCTTACCGATGCTGAAAAGGAGTCCGCAAGCCTGCGGCTCTTACCTCATGTTGATGCACTACTCGAAACCGATCATGGACCTCCGGATTTCCACCTGGAATTTGCGAGGGTTTATTACCACACTGGGAGACCCAGGAAGGAGGAGGCTCTTTATGCTGCAGTGCTCGAGAAGCGGACAATCCTCTTGGGAGAGTCTCATTCTGACACTCTAGAAATCATGGGCAACCTTTCTTGGACAAATCATAAGCTGGGTCAATATGCAAACGCTGAACAGCTTCAAACCGTCTTGTTGGATAGGCGGACTGAAAGTCTGGGAGTTGAGCATCCAGATACCCTGCGTACGATGGCTAATCTCGCCTCGACATATCATCATCTTAGGTGGTTGAGCAAGGCAGAGGAGCTTGGCGCTCGTGTTCTTGAACAGCAGAAGAAAATTTGCGGAGAAGATCATCCGGACACGCTCTGGACAACTGTGAATCTCTCCAATACGTACAGACAGCTGGGTCAACTCTCCCGAGCCGCAGAGATGCAGGAGTCTGTGCTCGCAAAGCAACAGAAATTGAGAGAAGGAGATCCAGATCTGTTGTTCACGATGGACAGTTTGTCCAACACGTACCGTGAACAGGGGAATTTGGATCAGGCAAAGCAGCTTGGGATGTCGGTTTTGGAGAGACAGAGGCGGTACCTTGGCGAGTTTCATACAGACACTCTGGAAGCAATGGCCAACATGACATTGATTCATTTGGCTTTGGGAGAGCTTGAAGAGGCGAGGCATTGTGCTGTGGTCACTGCAGAGAAGAATTCTGCCATATTGGGTGAAGACCATCCAGAGACGCTGCGTGCTATGGGCAATCTGGCGGAGGTTTATGTGGCGCTTGGAAAAGTTGAGAGTGTAGAATCGGGGAAGTAAGTAGCTAGAATATAGTTATGGATCAAAAGCTAGAGCTGGAGTCAGCCCGGTGGTGATCTCAATAACAATATCTTTGTCAGCGTGATTGGTGTAAAGGTAACATTGAAGCTTCCCATTCACACGGTCCCGTGACAATGGCCCTGCATCACGGGGACACTGCTTTAGCTTCGGGTTCGATTCCCGGATCACGCATTTTTGCTTTTCTCATCGCTTACTGCTTGCTACACAGGCGTGAGCGCTCCTTGCACTTGGTTCCCTTCTTTGCTTCTTTGACATCACAAAAAGACCTCGCAACAACCAGCACGCCGCATGGAGGAATCGAACCTCGCTGTCACTCGCAAGTGGTAATCCTAAGTCAACTCACGCGTCATCAGCACATCCATGCAGCAGAGAGTCCTTAGTACACCTCACTTCTGGAAACAATCAAGTGTACTATTTTAGCTTCGGGTTCGATTCAATACTTTGTTTGTTTGACCCACGAGCTGCGCAAGAAAAAAAAACGAAGAAGATGTGAACACAGGTGCAGTCAATTCACGCAGGCTCATCGATGCAGGGTTAGCCAAAGGTGTTGGAGGCTCAGGGCTTTCTTCCTTGCTACGTTTATTGTGAACGGTCCTGTTTTCTTGCCTCAAATGCTGCGCCTTGTGCTTGATTTTCAGCGTCGCCTGCACACACTTTTTCTGTTAGTCTGGTACCCCGGCAGTGAAGTAGGGCTCTTTCAGCTCTCGAAAAAGGGAGAAACACACCATTCACCCGGCCTGCAGGAATCGAACCTCGCTCTCCGGCAGCTGCCAGTTGGACCCAGTGCGAATTAGTGGAATCATGAGCACCGTATTGTTAAAGCGGGCCGTAAGACCCAGGTGCTGGAGGCTCTGACATGAATGATTTGAACACACCATTAGCATCCTTTCGAACGCTAAGAGAATTCAACCCTGCGCAGCGAAAGGAAATCCGATTTCTAGCGAAATTGCACAGGGATTCCAATATTGGTTTCAACTCGTGCATGTATGACCTGTCCAAATAGTTTGAAAGTTGGTCCACCAGGAATTGGCTCGACGCGCATCTGGAGCTCATTCTGGAGTACTTTGTATGGCAGTTGAAAATCAAAGTATAGCTGTTATTTTGCGACTGAAGAACTATTGGCAACAAGGCTGGATACGGCACTATATCTCACCGTTGAAAGCTTCACCCTCATGACAATGCATGTAGATTCAAGCGACCTGCGGCCAGATGACACTGAGCATGCCTGAGTCGGAGTGAACTGGTAAATGGACGAATACAGGATCGAGTCTGGTCCACCCACCAGCTGAAGCGCTGTGACTTTGGCTCGACAAATGAGGAAAGATCCATTGGGCCCTCCGCTCGAGCGCGAGGCAACTTGGCTCGACTGGGTGGAGCAGCTCGACACGGATCGAGGAAGAATCGTCATCGGAAGAGTACAGACATCGCAACATGCGACTATAGAGCGGCGCCCGAACGAAGACAAGATACCGCCATTGACTGAAAGATACTCGACGGTTTCCCCAAAATATTCCTTGGTCGAGCCTGGATGAGTGGCAGCACCACGCAGCTGTACCTACTTCGGCGACCGATTGAAATAAGCCGACTGAATGATCCTATCCGGCCAAAGAATCAGCGCTGAGCGACGGTGAGAAGAAAATGGGCAGACTCGCTACGAAGAGGATGAATGAATTGAGCCTTTGAACGGTAGCGGAAGATGAGATAGCTGCGGAGTTGGACTCTGTGGGAGCCTGGGACGAGTTTCCAGCGACTCGATTTCCACCAAGCCCATCAGTCGGTGCAGCAATTTGGAGTTGAGGATACCGATTGCGGTGAAGAAAAAAGAAATCCCTCTCCAAAACTTATACTGCCTGGAGGGATCGAACCTCGCTGTTATTCCTCGCACAGTGATACTTCGACCTAACATGGACAGCCGTCAACAAGTCTGGATACAGGCCTACAAAGGTATCTCACCGCTGGAAGTCCACCTTCATGGGAATTTATGCAGGGCTTGAGTGGCCTGCAGCATGACCGCACCATAAACGTGCCTTAGTACCAGTGAGCCCGGTAAATGAACGTTTCGAGCGAGTTCGACTTTGTGCATCCAGCATTATTCGACTCGCCGTCCGCTGCTAGACTCGTCATTGGAAACAGGAAAAGTATAGAAATCGCGACATACGTACCTGTCAAGCCGCGGTTGAAGACAAAATACTTGCATTGTAAGTATCTTGGATGAACACCGGGTGGCAATCACGTCGCCGCCGTTGGGAACCAAAGAGCAATAAAAACCACCGACTAGAATGAGCTTATCTGGCCGAAGACTTGACGCCGGAGGGAGAAATGAGCTTGGCGGTATCTCGTCGAAAGCCAAACGGTGCGGACAACTTGGAAGATTCTGTGCGCCGCAGAAGATGTTATGCCCGTGAGATTGGAAATGAATTGCGCCCAGAGATCTTGTTGGATGGCAGTCGAAGGAGAGAAACTAGGAATTGGCAAGGAATTGGCCGCCGAATCTCCGTGGGCGACAAGAGAGAACGACTGTGAGACTCGCGTCGGCGGTTTTCTGAAGGTTGTCTGAAGGACTTTCCCAAGCCGTGGAGCACAGCGAGTGATTCTGATTTGATTCTGATGCACCACGTGTTCTGCGCACGGGCCACCAAACAATCGTCGACCGTGTGACGTTTTGCAAATTTGATCAGTCTCTTTCGACCGATCTCCGCTTCACGTCCTTGGGCATCCCTCCGGACTCGACACCCCTGGTCTCGGTCTCTCCCTTCTACGGCGGACAAACTCCAACCCCCCAACAACCCCCACCGACGCGATTTGACACCACACAAGACGACGATAGGATGAGCGCCAAAAAGAGCGGTGGAGGCAGCGCAAAGAAGAGCAGCAGCAAGAACGATGGAAGCGACGAGGTCTACGAGCTGCGTGACGTCGTACTCGGCAAGATTCGCGGTTTCCCCCCGTGGCCCGGCATGGTCAGTGTCTCACAATCTGTCTGTCTTCGCGTTTCTCTTTCGAGGTCCTGGTGTCTCGCCTCCGAGGCTTTCTCCTTGTGGCTCTGGTGCCCGTCTCGACGCCTGGAGGCACGAATGGTGTGGTGGCGCGCGTGACTGGGCAGGGGCGGGCTGTCGGGATGCATACCCCTTGCCGCGTGGACCCACCCACTGCCGAGCGAGCGCGATTACTGCGGCGTAGCCCACCGATATGGGGAGCCCGGGTCTACTCCTTTCTTTTACGACCGTTTTCGTCGTGCTGGGCTCCTCAGCGGTCCCGGACGAGTCTTTTTTGCCAATGACTCACAATGGAGGGCGCTCGAGTGGCACTGGTCCTCAGACTCGCCTGTCGACCTGCTCAAATGGATGCCCCACCCCATACGTCTACGCTCCGTGCCTCTCGAGCGTTGGCGCCCAGGTCGATATGGAGCTCGCCTCCCGATTTCTCCCGATCCCGCCACGGGACGTGGCTAGACCTGCGCAGCCCTCCTGTCAAGGAAGCCTACCTTCCATTCTTCCTCGCCATCCTCTTTTCGGCGTCTTTGTGCTCGTCCTTTCTTTGTCGTCGTCCGAGTCTTCGGCCCCGCTCGCCATAGACTGTGGGTGTGGCTGCCCAATTGGCCTTATTAGGCCTGGGGATGTCCGGGGAGCCTCCCAATGACCGCTTGGACGAGGATCGGGGCGTCGTCGCTCGATTTCGCCCTATTTCATCGTGCGACGTGGCAAACGCCACTTGGCCTTGCGAAGCCTTACGCATTGCACTTCTATCTCAATCCACGCACCTCCTAGGAGGCTAGTGGCCTCCCACTCCTCTCACTCTCTCTTTCTTTCCCTCCTCTTTTCTCGCAAAATCGGATTCTGATGCCTTTTCTTCTGTATTTCAGGTCGTCGACCCGGACACCGTCCCCAAGATGGTGGCCAAGGAGCGTCCTGCGAATAAGAAGACAGTAGTGCACGCAGTCAGGTTTTTCCCGACCGGAGATTAGTGAGTGGCTCTTTTTTCATCGATTTTCGTCGCATTTCGTCGCATATCCCCTTGCCCACTTTTCCATGCTGTATTACCCTTCCCCGTTCTCTACCCCTTACTCGCCTTTCGTTCCGAGGGCCCGTGAGCTCCCCTTCTATGGCACATTTTCGTCATTCTGCCCATCTTGTTCCACCCGCTTGCTCTTTTCTTTTGACGGGAATAACCTGGCCACTCCCGCCCTTGCCCGCTATACCTATAACCTCTTCTTTCACATTTGACGCTCCTGCGCCCTTCTTCCTCCCTACTCACGCCTTTACTTTGCTATTCCGTCCATTTTTGGTCATATCTCGCCTGCGAGCACATTTATGGTTCTCGCGGTGCTCTGTCACTCCCCACCCCACCTTCCCTCACTCCCTATCGGCCTCGGGCGTCACTCTCCGGATTTCGGAGAGCGTCCAGGAACTTTTTTCGTGCATATTTTCCCTCCCCTCCCCTGGCCCTCGTAGACTACCTTCTTGCAGCCTTAGTGCCATCTCCCCTTCGTCTACCCCTCCCTCTCCCACTCCCGTCTTCTCCCTTACACTGTACTTTTCGCTTTACGTTTACTCTCCCCACCCCTCCTCCCGACGTCCTACACTACCCAGTCTTTCATCTCCCTCCCTCCCTCCTCCCCCCTCCCTCATCCGTCACTTCCTATTACTAAGAACTTTCCCTCCCCAGCGCCTGGCTCCCCCCGCGCGAACTAACGCGCCTCACGCACACGGCGATCAAGGCCTTTGTCGACGAGCCTGCGAATGGGAAGAAGCCCAAGGGTGGTGATTTGTTGGAGGCTTATCGGAAGGTGTGTGGTCTGTTGCCCTTGTCTTGGTTTTTTGTTTTGGGGCGGTGTGGTCTTCAGTCGTTACTCCAGGAGAGGGGAGGACAGGGACTTGCAGTCTCCAAAGCTCCGTGTAGACGAGGCCGGTGATGTCTTGCTCTATGGCAGCTCGGAGCGGGTGTGCCGTTAGCGTCTTGCCCCTCGTCCGCGACCGGATGTGGTAGCGTCCTGCCGCTTGTCGCTGGCTGTGATACCTGGCGTGGGCGCCATGATGACGTAGACGGGGTGTGCCTGCGGCGCTTGTGAAGGGCCGGGTGGCTCGTCCTGTGACTGCGCAGGGCAGGGGACGCTTTGAGTCGGGGGCTCGCTCTACGGGTCTTGTCGACTTGACTGCAGGTCTTGTCATGCG